TCTTACCCCTACATACATCAGGTAAAGTGCAATAAAAAAAAAAAGGTCTCCCTTAGCAACGTAAATGCTGGAGACAAAAACTGCAATGCTTTAGTTATGATTTTACAATTTCAATATGAAGACAAGGTCATGAGAAATTTAATGCCAAAAAAAAACGAGTAATGAAAGCTTAAATATGAAGTAAGCATATCTGATTATATCCTGGAGGAGAAATATTATTTCAAAGGGACATGTTTAAAAAAAATAGAAGTGAGCAAATTGATTTGTTATGTTATGATAAATTATCTATTACACATATTAAACAGCATATTCACGATAAGTTATCTCTTATATATAAAGCAAAGAGAGAAAGAGAGGGAGGGCTGGAGGGAGGGAAGGAAAGATGGAGGAAGGAAGGAGCATTCACAAAGATAGCACTATTTGAGAAAAGCCAAATCTTATGGGTTAAACCTTCCAAAATGAATGTAACACTACAAAAAGATTCTGTTTCTTGCTCCTTAAAACAGTCCAAGTCATTTAATCATTTCTACAACTAAAACGGTTCATGTAAACATCTTAGCTTAAAATATGAGTCAAAACTTCATCAGGCTTTGACTCAATTATGACAGAAGAGACTGAACCACCTTGGTTGAAAATGACTTTTGAAAAAGTGGTAATTTATGGCATTCTGTATAAAAGGAGGCATTGTTCACCCTATCTATGACAAAGACATTTGCCTGTTACTTCACCTGGGTGGAGCCAGGAAGGGCAGGTGGAGGTCACAGCTAATATATAACTTGATGGATAATTAAATAGAAACCTGAAAGCTGTTCACATCATCATCAAACTGGAATACCAAATAGAGAGAAACTGGGAGAGAAGGGAGACAAGCTGCATGTTTTAAAATATCAGGGGCAAAAAAAGGAATGAGAAGAATACAAAGAAGAAACTTCCCCCACAATTATCCTTTTATGTCTCTGTGAGTGCTAAGGAAGAAATTCTCTAGAGCAGTGGTTCTCAACCTTCCTAATGCTGTGACCCTTTAATACAAGTTCCTCATGTTGTGGTAACACCTCACTACAAAATTATTTTCATTGCTACTTTATAACTGTAATTGCTACTGTTATGAATTGTAATGTAAATATATGGCATGCAATCCCTGTGAAAGGATGAACCCCAAAGGGGTCACAGTCTACAGGTTGAGAACCACTGCTCAAAATGGTCATTTTAACCAAAACACATCCTCTCCTCCAGTGAAGCACATCAGAAGAAAAATGAGATGGAAAGGGCATACATACTAGGAAACACCTTTTCTCATAAAGAAAAAGAAGGTGTTTCTGCAGAAGTCAAATAAAACAATAGGAGTCACCCCTCATTTCAATCCAGACCTTAAAGCTTGGCTCTCTAAGGCTTTACTGAGGGAATAAGATATCTAATGACAGGGACTGAATTGTTAGTATAAAGAAGAAAAAATATGTTACATGTTGCTCTGCAAAAAAAAATGAATTAAGCTATTGTTTTTACATTAAAATGAAAATATTTGGTGGAGAAATTACCATTATCTAAATATATTGGTTCCATGATCAGCAAGTCATTGTTTATTTTGCATGCTCACAAATCATCAAAGCAAACTTAACAGCATTCCGTCTCAGATCTCTGCACCTGCGGCATGCTCACTAACCCAATCGATTGCAGTAATTATATCTAGCTCAGCCTTTGGTTATCAATAGTAGCACTGTTCAAAATGCATGGTCATCATTGTAAGTCCATGTAAATCCATATATTTAGGGTAGAATGAAGATGTGTTGTAATAATTCAAAAGGACCATAAATTGATACAATAATAGATTTGGAGTTAATTTCAGGAAAGCATAAGCTTCATTCAAAGGTTTGGTGTGGTTTACTCCATCTAATGCAGAATGACATTGACTGCCTTAGGACATCCTGATGTAAAAACTATTAAATAAAACGTCTCAATTTCTAGATTTTGCATTAGTCTCAAACCTTGCTTTTAGCCCTGAGAGGCTATTTCCAGACAAATTTTCAGCTCCTAATCTGTTCAACAGGCTGCCCAGCTGTATCATGCGAGCTACGATAAATACATCTCTGCTCAGTCCCATCATCTTTAGCATCTGACACTTTGTAACAGCGTTTTGAAATCATATTTTATGGCAGTGAACCTGCGAGGGGAAATTTATGAACTTAACCATCCCATCCAACATCTCCTGTCATGTGGAACTGCCCTCAGTACAAGGGAGATTAGTGAATGTGAGCTGCTTCAATTTGGCCGGCTGCCTGCCTAAGGAATGCTCTATTACATGGGCGAATGAGATTAGCCAAGTTTGGAAGCATTCGATTTGTTCTACGGCAGATTGGGAGAGAGCAGGAGTGAGTGGAGCTGAACATGAATGTCTCCAGAGGAAGTTCTAGTCTGGTATCAAAGCCAGCATCATGAGTCATTGACGCTCACTGTTTTTTGTTTGTTTGTTTGTTGTTTTGTTTTTTTAAGTGGACCTAACCTAAGTTGTGAGCGAACTTTTCGATTTGCTTCATTGTAGACTCAGGACACAAAGGATTTATAAGTCGTGCTCAACATATAGAAAGCAGTTGAGTGTAAACGTGCCTTTGCTGCCTGTACAGTGGCCCCAGGATTCTACACTGCCAGCAAATGAGGCCAGTGGAGCTTTGGAATGCACATGTAAGTAGGATGCTAGATTTCTTTCAATTCTTAAAATTCTTTGGTATCAGATGTCCTACCCTCAGGTCAGATGTCCTACCCTCAAACAAGGGCATATAAAAGAATTAATTAATGGAAAAAAATACAATTATGCCTGTAGTCCATAAATACTTGAAAAACACATTTTCATCCAATTATCTGGAAATACACAGGTGTAAGTTGCAACAAAAACAAGGTTTAGACTTATATAACCACACAAGCATGGTGAAGAAAGAAATGGCAATTCTTTTTAATGACAAGAATTTTCTGCACTATAAATGGAATTCATCATTGCACAAGACAATGAAGGTGATAAATTACAGACAAATTAACCTGATATGTTACAAGGGAGCTTGCTTGAAGAAAAATTAAGTTTCAAGATCATATAAAAAGTAAAAATCTTTATTTTATAGCAGTTAATCAAATTTTGAGGGATATAATTTGCATAGATAATTATATGTGAAATTTATTTTAACATCTGTAGTTCATTTCCATATAAACACTACATTATATTCTAATAACCTGTCTACAATGAATTCCTAATCCAAATATCACATTAATCTTCAAAAATATTAGTTTTGTACAAAGAATAGGTACTTTATATGTGCTTTTATTGACAATGAAATCTGGTTTCCTAACAGAAATTTCCATTTCTGTAATATATAGAATTAACCATGATAAATTACATACCAATAAGATTTCCCCCCAAAATGAAAACAGGCTGCCTCTAAGCCTCTTTAAAGGTTCAAACTTATAAGAACTAGAGCAGTCTCACAAACTGAACATAAATAACTGGAAAATATTTTAATATTAATTTTCCTCTCAATTCTGAGATGAAATCTCACCATGCTGTCCAGTCTGGACTTCAACTCAAGCATCAGGAGGTCCTACTACCGCAGCCTCTCAGGAGGCTGAATCACAGCTAGACACTGTTTAGCCATCTCCACCTCATTATATGTATAAAATCAATGGCTCTCCATGAGAAAAAATGATGACCCTTTTCAAAGCTACATAAAGACTTCAGAGCCATTCAGGGTTAATCAATCATTTAAACTAACCCAAATCTTGGAGTTTAAGGGATCCATGAAAAGGAGTTGGTCCTCATGGCTTACTGTACATATTAAGAAACTGAAGCTGGGGAAAGCAGTATTTCTAAAGGTCAAAGAGCTCACACATGGCACATGAAACATTCCTTATATCTTACAAACACAAATGTAATTTAAATTTTAACAATGTTGCTAGCTATCACTTTTAAATTAATGTTTAAAGAAGGTATTATACTTACGTTCTTTTATAAACCTATCCATTATAGATTATGAAATGCGATGAGTTTACATGTTCTGATTACATCCAGCATTTTTCATTTTACATTGCTTATCCACTTAATATTTAAGATTTAGAAATGTACAGCTCATGCCTATTTGTTGCATTTAATAAGGCAAAATAGAAATGTACATTTTCTCTTTGGTGGCAAAATAAAGTTTATATAAATTTTAAAGATTCCACTTATTTTTATTTTATGTATAGGAGAGTTTGGCTTGAAACATGTAAGTGCATGCAGTACTCAAGGAAGACATAAGGAAGCATCAGATACCTGGAAATAAAGTTAGAGACAGTTGTGAGCCACTATGTGGGTGCTGGAATCTGACCCTGGGTCCTCAGCAGCAGCAGTGAGTACTCTTAACTGCTGAGCCATCTCTCTAGGCCCTGGAGTTTTATATTATGTATATGTATATTGCCATATTTTCCTATTATTATAGAAAGTCACCACTGACAGTTTTCTTTTCTCTCTTATCCAGCATTCAGCACATATAATGCAAATAGAGTACACACTCTCTACAAACAGTTGTGAAATGACTTGAACCCTATAAAGTAATTAGTACTCTCAAGCTAGAAGAATTGCATTATCCCTCAAACCTACTATGTTAATGCAAATCTGAACAATGGAATTTTTGTCAACTCTAACAAATCTAAAATATCATATATTCTCAAAAATAAGCTGTCTCAGAAATAATAATTCAATGCCATGTGGCTACCCACAGCATGCTCGTGAGGTCTCGAGATGAATGGTGTAGGTTCCCACCCAGTACCTTCACTGGGTTGATAGTGTTTTCTTTTAGAGAAAACTTTGAGATGCTTCAAAATACCACCCTTGATTAATAAAGAATTTCTATTTGTATATAAAATGATTTTTTTCCATTTTCCAGGGGTAGAACCTATCAAACATATTTTTTTACACTTATACTATTGTTACTTTATACGGGCACTTGTTGTAATACAAAATGCTTTCTTATATGTATACTCACCTGCTCAGAAAACAGGCTACTGTTGTCTTCAAGGTATTTACTGAAGGGGTTGGGTTCATAAACTTCTTCCTCCTTTCTCAGTAGTAGCTTGGATTTGACAGGTACTGGGCGAATTACTCCAGGCTTAGTCTTCATGAAGGAGAAATTTTTTTAAAATAGAGGTGAAAAACACTATTAAAAATGAGTCCTTTTATTGTTGTTACCCAAATGCTCTCACAAAATTTTTCTTTTGAAATTTGAAGTTGTTTGAAATCATAGATAAAGCATCCCAGAAATTAGATTGTTTTAACAATGTAACTAGATGTAAAAAATCAATATAATTGTTAACAAATTGTAATCAATTAGTTCATTGATTACAGTAGCAACTAAGTCATAAAGATCTCCTATCACAATCTGAAATTGCAAAACCACACCAAACATGTTCCTCTACCCTTCATTTGACAAATGTTTTTTGAGTACCTGTTCTGCAATGTACAGTATAGGTATAGAGGACCTTGGAAAGTCCACCCACATTATGATTAAGCCACACTCATATTACATATTGCTGAACTATATCTAGAAGGAAAATAGAATGTGATAGAGAGATTTGGGTTACCTGCAATTACTGTGTGTCAATGCAGGAGCTGTAACATGCCCTAGTTTCACTTAAAAGGTAGATGTACTGAAATGAAGAAGCTTTGTGAAGCTGCTACCCAAAGTGGAAAGCCCTAGATGAAGGCCAAAGCACCCATGTGGTCCAGCTGGGCTTCCTATCCCTTAGTTCCCTAGGACTGTCCTCTCCTTATACACTGATGTAGTTTGTATCAGAATAGCCCTAATGAACACATCAGTCACTGTGAACTCATAAAATTGTAGTCAGTGACAATATGAGAGGGAGTTTCTTTCACTTGGGGCAATTTCTAAATGTTTCACCAAGTGTAAAATCCTGTGACACTGTCAAATACCACCAAATGATTGATCTGTTTTGAAACCAAGCCAAGTAAAAATTCAATAAAAAGAGTGCCCCTCTTTGTTTGAGCTCTTCTCTGTAATCATTCTTCACAACCTCACTCCTCCCAGAAAACTGTAAATTAGCCCTGCCTAGTCAAACCTGGTGCTCACAAGTTAAGCCTTAAGAGACTACATCTATCTCTCTGCTCCATAAAGCACTTGATGTATTTTGAGTCTTGAATAAATCTCTCTCTAATACTTTTTCCAGTTGCTATTTCCCTAGTTGTTGTCCTTGTACACACCAAGTGGGAAAATACAGATTGAGAAAGTGCTTTTCTTCCCCAGCCTGAGAAATAGCTCCGACTTAAGAAACCCATTTATCTCCAGAGACAAAAAAAAAAAAATGAGCCAGTAGTATCCAGTTATTCCACAAGTGTGAGAACAGTATTCCTCAAGTGAACATAAGAACACCACTCGGGCAGTCTCCAATTCTACTGCCTGGTCCTGGGACCATGACCCTATGTTGAACACATGTCCTTCTTTTCCATGAGGGGCCCTGCTAATATCTCCTTCCTTCTCCTCAAATCCCTGTACTTTCTTCGTGAAATCAATATAGGAAATCCAAAAAACCTCACACGTGCCCAAACCAACATGGAACTTGAAGAGTTTAAGCCAGGTGTCAGCACGCAGAGAGGGAAACACTGCCTGGCAGAATTTGATATGGTAGAGAATCTCTGCGCCAGAGAAACATGGCTGCCTCATTTCCTGTATTGCAAGCAGATGTTTTGAGCTATATTGGCCTAGACTTGTGGCCACCTTCAAGGATGAGATCAGAAGAGACTGTTTGGGCCGGTGAGATGGTTCAGAGCAAAGGAGGTTGCTGTTTAGCCAGACAATCTGAATTCCATCCCCAAACCCCACATGGTAGAAGTTAACAACTCCCTTTACTTGTCCTCTGTTCTCTGCAGTATGTACACACACACACACACACACACACACACACACACACACACACACACACTAAAATTTTAAAATAATGTAAAAAATAGAACAAAGGAAGGAAACTTTTCAAGGTGTGAAATCTTAAGTGCAATACATTCAGTATCTCAGTCAGTTACTGACACCTCACGTTGCTTCTCTGCCAAGCTTTCTGCTCCTTACTTTCTGTGTGGCCTTACTTTCTGTGTGGCCTTACTTTCTTAGATATGGTGGCCTTCTGATTTCTAGACGATTATTGGACCTCATTTCCTGTTTCCTTGGTGCTGTGAAGTTTTTCCTCTTTTCATTATTATTAAAAAATGAATCTCTGACTTTGTCTACCTGAAGTATCTGAGTCGTCCATGTTCTTTATTGCTAACTTGGTTTGCACAGATTGCTTTTTCTTAAATTGTGCATTGCCTCTTTCTTTGTTTTTAATTTTGCTTCTATACCATGACTTGTTATAATTGTCAGTATTTTATAGCCATAAGTGGAAACCAGAGGAAGGGAAAAAACAGACAGAGATTGTCTTTGATAGTGTTCACATTCCCCATCATATGACTTCTATCATAGCTTCCAAATTCTCTCACTATTGGTCAGTTAAAAACTCTAGTCATAGCCAGGCGGTGGTGGCGCACGCCTTTAATCCCAGCACTCAGGAGACAGAGGCAGGCGGAGCTGTGTGAGTTCGAGGCCAGCCTGGTCTACAGAGTGAGTTCCAGGAAAGGTGCAAAACTACACAGAGAAACCCTGTCTCAAAAAACCAAAAAATAAAAATAAACTCTAGTCATTGTACACATCAAATCAAGTTGAGGGCACCCCATGCCTCCTGCTCTTGTTCTATATTCTTTACAGCCAGTTCAAAGCCTTGTGGGCCATCTGGGAGCTAAAGAACACCCACTCTTCTAGACACCCTGAATCCATTCCTCATCTACATAAGAGCACTAAGGGTTATATGTTGATTTTTCACAAACACTGTAAGAGCTTTCAAGATAGAAAGTCAGAAGTCTTCCAGTTAATATGTGAACCAAGATCTACAGCTAGGTCAGTTGGTCCAAGGATCAGGTTTGGGATTTTCATTGCCCCTGTACCTTGGCAACAGAGAGAACAGGAGAGAGGAACTAAAAATCTTTTCAAAACACCTGCTTTCCTATAACATGAGTGAAATCCTTCCATTTTTTATTCCATTTAGATTGATTTAATCTCTTCATTTCTATTACCAACCTGCTTTTGAACCATCACAGCATCATTCTGTCCTTCTCTGTTTTTTCCCACCAGATCTTCTAAATGTTCCTGGAACATTATGTCACCCCATGTTTTCCAGGTCTGATGTATGTATGTATGTATGTATGTATGTACATATGTGTATATGCACACACACGTATGCACATATACATACATCTCAATGAGTCTAAAATTTTCAGTCTCTAGATTTGATTAACAAAGCATGATAGCAGGATGAGGGGAGGATCAGGACACAGATTTTCATTTATGAAATGCAGGTATTAGACAATATAATTTTGGAAAAGACATTTGATATATTGAACCACATGAAGTGTTATAATTCTAATCCTTAACTGTGTCCTTTCATAATGGGTAGTGCCACATAATATTCCTAATGTCTCTGTCTCTTTTGGAATCACACCACATAATATTACTGCATCAGCCTTATGTCAATGTACTCAAATCCATCATCCAAATGTAGTTTTAGTGTATACTTCGGAAAGCCTTTAACATACATGATGCAGCAAGAGTTAACATGGGCACACAGGAGGCTCTTCCACAGGGGCTTCCTTTCTGCTCTTCCTGATATGTTGTTTCTTTATGGCAAATGATCATGAAATTTACATTTTCTCAACATGAAATTACAGCACAAAGCAAGCTCATGGTTCCATTCAAGAAGTTTCCTAGTGCCTTGCCACTCAGAATAGGGCCCATAGACCTGCAGTTGTGAGCACCACCTGAGAATCGATCACATGGTACAGACCTTAGAGCCATCCTTGACATGTGACTGCATGTTAGAAGATCCCTAGATAATTTGTGTGCTAAGTAAAAACTACAGGGCACTAGACCAGAGTGTCTATCAAATGAGCTGCTCAGCTGGGGCTGTCATTGCCATTCCAGACAAACATGTTTATGGGGGCCTTTTGTCTCTCGTGGAAGAAGAGAAGGCTATTCTTTATAAATTTCTCATCTCTGTTTTCTCTTTGCTCAAAGTAATCTGTTACCCTTGGACATCAAGTAGGAGTTCTCTTGAAGGATTTCCTTAATTTTTGCAAATCTAATTTGCTAAGTCTGTGTGCAAACAAATATAAAAAAAATTAGATGAATCAGATTAGAAGAGTCCATAAAAAGTAAGTTACTGTAAAATTGTCACTGTCCAATAACTAAATCCATCCACAGAGGGTCTCTTGTCACTTGTAGAATATCGAATGACCAGCCTTGACAGACAGACACATATCTCTCCAGTTATGTCAGAAAACAAGATTCTGTAAATTTTTGTCTGAAATACGTGGTAAAATTGAAAGGACCTTTTCACACAGTTGATGCCCGGAACATGGAAAGAACAGTCTCCAGACAGAGGGAGAGTTAGCTGATTCGAATAGCTGACTCAGAAATGAATTACTCTAGATTTAAATATTCTGAAGCGCCTCAAAAAGAAAACACCTGTTTGTGAACTCTGAAGACACCTCTCTCTGAAGCTATTAGGACCTATTCTGACAAAGGAGACCTCTCCCAAAACTGTAGTGTCCGTGGGGATGGATATAACACAACTCTTAACTCAGGATTCACAGCCTAAGCAAGCACTCCATGGAGTAACTATAGTGTAAATTGCATCATGCCATTCAACTTCCAAACAATGCCACTCACTTCCATATCAAATCATGTCAACTGATCTTTCAAAGGTTCCTTTGACCTTCTCATGGCAGAGATCTTCCAGTGCCTGACCTTCCCTGTCTTCAACTGGCTTTTCCCTTTCCAACTTGTCCTCTGCTGCTATACCTCTCACACCAGCACACTCACTCGAGTTCCCTGACTATGACTCACTGCCACTCACCCACTGGGAACCCTCTCCAGGAGTTTTCACTTGCTCTGCCCTATCTGTGGATTTTGTTTCAAGTATATGCTCAAACATCACCTTATCAGAGAGCTGTCTCCTGATCATCTATATAAAATGTTCATCTCTACCACCCTGTTACATTTGCCGCCATCTGACATCT